ACTAATGTGCTAGTTTCGAAAAGAGTACAATTAGCATCAAAACTCAAAATAGTGTTGATGAAAACTACAAGTTGGTTCAGTTTCAAATTGGAAATCCAACTCTTTTTTTTTAGTTCAGTTATCGGTTATCCAATAAAATGGAGAAAATAGCAAAAATGAAATGTACAATTCGTGAATTACCCAAACTAAAATGCATAAGGAAAAAAAAAAAAAAAAAAAATTGTCCCAAAATACAAGCTTGAATTGGTTCAATCGAAATTCACTCGGTTCAATTGAAACAAAATAATCACAAATAATAACAAGAAAGAGAGCCTCAAAGTCTTGAAAATCTGAAGTGTAGTCCGAATGAGGGGATTTTGAAGGTGAACGCATTTGAGATTTGAGAAGACGAGGTGAAACCGTGACGTGGAGAATGAGATGTACGGGAGTGGGCCGAGTGGTAGCAGGATTGCGAGCGGCGAATGGGTGAGCCGCAGAGGTAGGGTTTCAGCCTTGGAGACAGGAGTGGGAGAGAAGGAGAGACGAGTCACGATAGTAAGGGTTTGTTTGGAAACACTTATTGAGAAGTTCATTTCAATATGGACTCTTTAAAAAGTGACTTCTAAACAAGTTTCTATTATAAATTTTTTTGAAATAGACTTTTTGTGGGAGTTATTTTTTTAAAAGTCAATTTTGTTATTAACACCAAACATCCTTTTATACACGAAATAGACTTTTATAGTCAAAAGTCATTATAAAAGTGCATCCAAACATACACTAAAAAACTATGTAATGAATAAGTACTATGGCCTAATCTATGGAAGTGAGACTGTGGGATTACATGTGGGCCTGCTTCTTTTTCATAGTGGAATGGACCGATTGGTGGGTCATGGGTGTGTCGTGGGTGGTCTTGGACTGTGGTGTGGGTACTATTAATGGTCATTTACACATATACTCTACGATTCAACAAATATTGTAGCTCTACCATCCCACTAAATTAATTGCTTGTTTACCTAAAATATAGATTTAATTAGATTAATTCCTACTGTCAGTTACCATAATATTTCAACGTCCCCCTTAATTTGCGTTTGATTAATATTTCAACGTCCTCCTTAATTTGCGCTTGATTATTGTTTCACCTTATTATAAAAAACTCAAATTCACGTCTAAAACCCTAGAAATATGTTTGTTATGAATTTGAATACAAAAACAGGTTGAACAAAAATCTAAAAATTGTATGTGTTTAGTTTATATAACGTATATATTACACATATGAACTGTATATGTTTAGTTTATTTAACATATATATTATTACACATAATGTTTACACATACGAAACTGTATATGTTTAGTTTATATAACGTATATATTAGTATCCATATTTATTTTTTATGTTAATTTTTTCTCCATCGGGCAGTCTCTTTCAACAAATCATTCGTCAAGTTACATCTCCTCAATGTCAATTTCTCGTCTTCAACAAAATCGAAATCTTCGGCTTTGAAAATGTTGTGCTTTTAAGGATGAGGACGGAGAAATCTGCGGAGGAAGATAAGGATGAGGACGGAGCTCTAAAGAGGCTAAAATCTCCAAATATGCTCCCTTCAAGGAGGAAACCAACAAGGCCGACGGGTTAATCGACCCAGAGAAGAAGACACTGAACGAATTCAAGGTTCTGATCCAGGAGGCGCTCAGCAAGCGCGAGTTCTCTGCCCCGCCGCCGGCCTTCGTCCAGGAGGAGGAAAAAATGAGGAGTCGAAAGCATAGGAGCAAAACTAAGAAGAAGAGCCTAAGAGCGAAGAGAAAAAAGAGGACGACCCAAAAACCGAATCTTGCAGAGAAGCTCCGCCGGCGGCCGTGGAGCCAGATAATAAAGTCCATAAGTCCAAAGAGAAAACGGAGGCCGCAGTTGACAAGGTTTGTGGGAGAGAGAAAAGAGATGAAACTTGTAGAAGAATGTAGAATAGTTGGCGGTGGGCGGTTTTTGAGTAGTGGGATAATTACCTCTTACCATATGTATTGGGAGCCATTTTTGGTACTGATAATATTACCATTAATTTAATTAATAAATTGATTATTTGAGATAACTTTTGATAGCAACCGAATTCTAGTAATACTGCAAATATAAACGTAATCTTTGGCTATAATGCTAATGTTCTTACACGGGTATTATTTATGTAACTAAAATTGAACTTTCTAGTGTAGGGCATAATTTTTTCTCATTATTAATTCATTATATAGGGCATAATTTTCTCATTCTTAATTAATTCATTATATAGGGCTTTTTATAACATATATGTATAATTGCAGTTTCAGACTCTAAGGGCGTGATTGAATATGAATCAAATCGGTTTTGGTTGGTTAAAGTAGTTGTTTTAATTAAAGTTGATGGAGTGGATGATTTTAAGTTTGTGATAAAATAATATTTAAAATGTGGTGATTAAAGTTGATGTGATGTAAAAAGTATGACAAAAGTTATTAGAAGTGATATACAGTTAATATTATGTTAGTGAATGAATAGTGAATTAAAATTAATATACATGTGAGGATACTTGATTAATATTATTTAATTATTTTAATAATATTAAAGATATTTGAATTGAATCAGCAGATTAAATTAAGAGATTAGATACAAATTAACATCAATCGTGAAACCGATTAAACTGATTTTGTCTCATATTCAAAGGCACCTTAATTCTTTTGGGTGTGCTTGTTTATGAAAGATTTCATTTAAAAATGATTTATTTTAGTTAACTAGAGTTTTTTTTTTTTTCAAAAACGATAATCAACTTAAATATAACTCAAAGACATAGTTCAATACAAACGAATAACCAACTGGTTACATAACCTACTCCAAGCAATAGTCTTAGAGCAGGCTCCCGGGATCATCACACTTGATTCCCCTGCAAAGCCTCAATGGCCAAAGATCTAGCTAAATAACATAAGCTACCTCCAAGTGAAAAAGAACAAGCACAAACTGAGGCTAAATACATAATATCTTTTACAATGCTTTCCAAATGGGGAGAGAACCCTGAGCCAGAAAGCAGCTTCCTCATGATAGTCTTTCTGATCAATCAAGCACACAAAGTGGTTCCAATTCTTTTCTCTTGCCTTCTTCAATCGCTACCTAATGCATGCTAGTTGATATTCCTCTTCTGTTTCAGAGCAGCCCTCCCTAGCCTTCCATGTTTTCAAAATCTTTCCCTCCTTCCTTGCCACACACCCTCTACCTATTTGACCCTGAACTTTATCACAAGTACTGACAACTATATATAGTTGTCCTACTGCCATTTCAGGTTCACCTTGATTGTCCTCTTCCTCTTCCTCCTTCCCAATCCCTATCTCCCCTCCCTTCTTCCTGGGATTATTATCTAGATATTCACACCAAGCCCTCCTTGCTTTCTCCACAATCATCTAATTTATAGTGTGCTCTTTCTGGAAGACCCATGCATTTCTAGCCTTCCACAGTGTCCACATCAGGTAGGTTGATAGGCTAACTTTCTCATCCTAATGCTTGTATCTCCTGCCATTGCTCACCTCCAACCACCATTTGTTAAAATGTCCACCTCCACCTTCCAGCAGCTGCCAGGACAGACCACACACTTTCCAGCACCTTTGAGCTCTGACACAATTGAATAGGATGTGGTTCAAGTTTTCCTCCTCAGCTCCACACTTCATATATCCTCCCCACTTCTACTCCTTTCTGCTGCAGTTGCATTTTGGTACCCAAGGCATTAAACCAACATCTCCATATGAAATTTTTTATCTTCCTTTGGATTGGTAACCTCCAAGTAACTCCCACATTCTTGTCATGGCACTTTTTCCAGAACAGCTACTAATATCCTGCTCATGTGCTCTTGAGTGGCTGTCCATGATATTCTTGTAGACCTCTTTCACAGTCAGCTCCCCTTTTTTTTCCCCAGTGTCACACTAATTTGTCATGTGTAGCACTATGTTCCAGAGGAATCTTCAAGATAAGACCTGCAACAAATGGGTTAAAAGTTTGCAAAATCAATTCCTTATCCCACTCTCTAGTGCCCTCAATCATCAACTCACTCACTCTCTCCACTCTAATCCTGTCCCCATGAAAAGAACACTGAGGTGTGAAATTATACCTACAAGGGGTCCATGGTGATTTTCGCACCTCTATAGATTTGTCATCCCCCACCTTATACCTAACCCCCAGCATAAGAGACTCTCTGGCACTCAACCATCCCCTCCATAACCAAGAGTCAGACCCTTTAGGTTGACTCTCAAAAAAATTCTTTCCCCAGAAGTACCTCCTTCTAAGAACCCTACTAACCAGGAGATTTGGCTTAGTAATAACCCTCAATAACTGCTTCACCAAAAGAGTTTCATTCATGATTCCTAGATTCCTAAAACCTAACCCCTCTTCCCCTTTAGGCTTAGAAAGCTTATCCCAGGCCACCCAATGCACTCTCCTCCCTCCTAACTCTCCCTTGCCCCACCAGAAATTGGCCAGCTCCCTGTTCAAGTCTTTAATCACATATTTAGGGATTTTAAAACATGACATGACAAAAATAGGCATAGCCCCTAGCACAGATTTAAGCATTGTTTCTCTCCCTGCTTCACTCAGAAAAATATTTTTCCAACTCTCAGTTTTTTGCCTCACATTATCACTCAGGTGGTTAAAGATCTCTCTTTTAGATTTCCCAATCCCTAAAGGGAGACCAAGATATCTAGCAGAGTGGACTCTAGCTATTCTAGTGAAAATGTTGCAAATGTCAATCAAGTTCTCATGAGTGGTGTTTCTAGAGAAAAAAATGGAAGACTTACTGAGATTAACCTGTTGTCCTGAATCATTCCTATATACACCAAGAATATGAAGAATAAGA